TGGTTGCTGAGTAATATTCCATTGTATATATGTACCACATCTTTTTTATCCAGTCATCTACTTTTGGGCATTTGGGCTGCTTCCATGTGTTTCCAATGTAAATAAAGCAGCAATAGACATGGGAGTACGGAGTACAGGTATCTTTTTCAATCAGTATTTTTGTGTCTTTTGGGTAGATACCTAGGAGTGAGATTGCTGTGACCCAGCAATTATGACGGTCAAAAATCGGAAATGATCCAAGAGTCCACCAGTTAAGATCCGCTTAAAGAAAATGTGGGGTCGTATGTTCCTCCGGAGAACTTTGTTCACCAAACATTTTGTTAGGCAATTTGATGACGTAATGAGTGCTCTGTGATGTCAAGTGGAAACTAGGTTCTGAAGAAATAATTTTTGGTATTCCTGTAACATTTTTTAAGCATTTGCATATAAAAAGCTGAAAGGAAATGTTTTTTTTAAGATATAAATTTGTGATTTATAACTTTTATCTATGTAAACCATATCTTAAAATGTGAAAGTTGAAAACACATGAGAAAAAAAATTAGTGAAAGCAGAGCGGGAAGGAATTTTCATTCTTATTTATTTAAGATTCACTCTCCAATTAGGAAAGCTTCTCCTCACTTCAGCTTTTTTTTTTTAATGATATAATAGCTTATTTTTACATTATTTTGTGCTTTTTTTCATCTCAGTTGTAATTCCTGTGGGCTTCCCATCACCAAATCACCCGTGTGCCATCCCCATAGTCCAGTGCAGGAAGGTTTTGTTTTTTTTTTAAGATTTATTCATTTATGCACACAGAACTGGGGTACAGACCAGAGGTGGGGGGGGCGGTGAGAGGATTCACCAGAGACTGAGTGGGGAGCAGAACAGGTGGATTGACAGAAATACATTGCTGAGGGGAGCAGCGGGCGGGTCAGGAGAGGTCTGCGGTGCCATGTGGGTCATCACCCTGGCGGGGATGACATCCTCCCCCTTAAAAAGCTGAAGTGGCGGAGGCTAGTTTCGTAGCGCATCATTTTTACATTAGTTCTTTTTCCTCCCCACAAGTCCAAGCTTTTGATAAGAGCGTATAACTGAATTGTATCAAGAGAGCAATTAAGGAAAAGGCACCCTGCCGGTGCAAGGCCAGGAATGGCGCGCAATTTAGGGTTGTTGCTTGGTGCGCGATAACTTAGTGTGCCCCTATTTGGGGGTGACAGTCAAGAGTGGCCAGCGAGGTGCAGGGCAGGTTGAGCATCCCGCTGGGCAGTTGCTGCAACTCGCTCCACCCATCCCCTCCTCCGGAGGGAGGGCAAGGTGCGAGCTAAGAGCCCCTGGGACTGGAGGAATCAGGCTGGGTAGCTGAGCCCAGGTAAGGCCAGGTCTGACAACTCGCAGGGATCCGCTGCCCTGTGGTGAGGCAGTCATTACAACTCATGGCCCTCCAAGCTCTGAGGCGACGCTCAGCCCCAATTACCTAATTACTGCCTTCCTAAACGCTGCTCTCTGGGAGTTATTGCCAAGGCCTTTGTTTTGCTTGGTTTAACTAGCACAGATAATTTTCTTCCCACAAAAATTGCTGTTACCACCCTCTGGGATTTTCTTTTTAATAGATAGAAAAAAATCCTACTTAAGAAAAAGAGCTTTCTTCAATATTTGATCTTGCTGAGTGTCTGTGTGACCAAGCTGCCAATTTGAGTTTTTTACTTCTATGCTCAGAACCCCTATCCCTGGTGGGGTATGGCCTACATAGCACTCTAAGGGCAATCTTGGTGGTTCCTTAAATGAACAAGTCCCAGGAAAGTGATTTTAATAAAACACCAAGGGGATTGTTTCTTCCATCCAGGTAAGTTAAGCCATTCTTGGGAAAGAAAAACCAAAATAGATCCTATGCCAGTCACCCATATGTTATCTCTAATTTTTTCTTTTAAGATTTATTTATTTATGCATACAAGAGCTGGGATACAGGCCAGAAGTGTGGGGAGAGGATTCAGCAGAGACAGAGTGGGGAGCAGAACAGGCAGATCTACTGAAATACACTGCTGAGGGCAGCAGGGTGCTGTCAGGAGAGGTCTGCCGCGCCATGTGGGTCAGCTCCCTGGCCAGAGAATGAACTTGTGCTGCAGTGACTATGAAGAGCTTCATAGTACTGTGATCTTTTAAAAATTCTTTAGAATTAGTAACTATAATACTCAAAAGTAAATAGAACAGTTTACTCCCATATCCAATCACAAGGATTCAACCTTTATCATGAACCCTCATCTATGCTTTATGTATCCCTTTGTGTTTGCCTTTATTGCTGCATTTTAGATCAGATTTTAGCCCTCTGGCATTTCACTCAATGCCTTTTCATTCTTCTCTGCTGTTGACTTTGTAGAACTAGGTCAGTTATTCTGTAAAATACCCCACTTTGTCCTTTGTCACCACTTTCTCGTAGTGTCGTTTAACTTGTTCTTCTCTCTCCCATATTTTTGTAAACTGAGGTTGAATCTAGAGAGACTTATTCATACTTGCGGGGGCAAGAAGATGCCTTATAAAGTGATATATGTTGTCAATATACCAGCAGATCCATCATGACTCACTGTCCCAATTTTAGTGATGCCATCACTGATAAGTGCCTCAGGTGGTGAGAGTCTGTCCCTGCAATTGTAAAATCCCATCAAAATTTTACCTAATGGTTTTCTCCATATTCATTGCTTTATTTACTATACTGTTTGTTTTGTTTTCATTAGGAATTACATAATACTAGTTTTCTAATTTGGTTATTATTTACACATTTATTAGCTAGAATGCTTTCCCCTAATGCTTCCCTCAAAGTATATTTTACTCTGAAAGCATATTTTACTCCTGACAAGAAAGGCAAGATAAGTGCTTAATTTTTCCCTTTTAAAGGTGGGGCTTTGGTGCCTCAAATGGAATTTACTTGTTTCCCTTAGAATCCTATTTTTTTTTTAAGATTTATTTA